CGGCCCCCTGCCCTGAAAGTCTTAGAGGAGGCTGCTGCTGAGAGGGAGCTGGAAGGCAGCTGAGGGCATGGTGGAGCTATGCGCTGTGCAGCCCTGGTGGGTGGCCTGACCTGCTGGGCTGTTTCCAGATGTTTGGAGCAGGCAGGGCAATTTGGTTAGCCTGCTTGGTTTCTGCTCCCACGGGTCTACCTCGAAGGCTCTGCAAAGAGATGGCTTTGAACAAAGGCCACGTTTTTACACCCTGCTCTCAGGCACATGCGATGCCGGAGGAAAAAAACAGAGGTTTTACTGTCAAATGAAATCAGAGGTCCCTGCTGCTTCCTCTCCCCGCACTGCTGGGTTAGAAAACACTTTTGCCTCATGACTGCCTCATTTTGCAACCAAAATATAAATGTTCAGTGGATGTAGAAATGAACAGAGAGATACTTTGTCAAAGCAGAAGGCTGGCGATGCAGGGACCTGGATTCTGCAAACCACCACCCAGGTCCCTTCAGCTGCAGGATGGGGGTGCAGCCCAGTGGTTAGAGCACAGCATCTGCCTGAGTGCTGGCTTGTGTGGACTACACTCAAGAGCAGGTCTCAGGCCTGCCTGTGCTGCTGTGGAGTGGGACACACAGGCCTGGAGAGCATGGATGTGCATGGAAGATGGCTGGTTACAGGGCTTGTGAGTTCCCCAGGGGCACAGATGTCCTCTGCTCCATGAGGGGATCCCTGCCCTGATGATACATACTGCTTGTCAGGGATGAGGGAAAGAAACCTGAATGGAAGAAGAGGTGTGTTTTCCACTGCAGCATGGTCTTAGCTTCTCCCTCCAGTCTCCCCTTTTTCCAGGGCAAGAAGAGACAACCAACATCTGAAAAGAGTTTGCTGCTCTTTGGAGGTCAGTGTAGACTCCATTGTGTTGCTCCATTGCCAAGTTTCCTGGTAAAAACAGGGCAAGAGCATCACAACATGGTGGCACAGAACTCATACATTCTCATCAACTATGCAGACTTCGATACTGTCCACAAAGCATTTCTAGAGCAATTTGGCTTCCAGGGCTGCATCTCTGCCATGACCTTTCACTGGTTCCAATGGGGCTCTGAGCTGGAAAGCCCCTCTCAGAGGGACAAATTTGTAGCTAGTTCAGGTGAATGTAGGACCCATGGATTGAAGACATATCTATGGAAATGCCTGCTGTTAGGCTGAGACTCTGGCTCCCTTACGCTGCCCACTCTGACACAACGAACCCTCCCTAGAGAGGTTGTGAAATCTCTCCAGAAGCCCTGGACAATCAAGGGGTCTCATCACTGCCCAAAGCAAGTGGTTGGTCTCCCAGGATCCCAGCGGGGTGCCCCAGCTCTTTTCTCCTATGCATATGAATTTGCAAACCTGGAGGGAGATTTTCAACTGAGACACATCCCCATCTTGGCTCCTCTTGGGCCCTAGGAAGTCTCCTGCCGCTGTCTCTCCTCAGCACTGTCAGAGCCTGATAAGCTCCCCTAGAGCTGCAGGATCTGGAGTCCCTGCTGAAGGTGAGTCACTGCTGCACTGATGCTCCTAAGGCCCACTGAAGCCATTGTTTACTTTGTGGCTGACTGTCCCCTCCGGGCTTGCATTGCTGAGATGCCTTTTCATCTTCCATTTGGTTGTCCCTGAGAAAGCAAACTCCTCTACCCCAGGTTGTCTGACTGCAGCAAATCTGTAGATGCCAAATTAGGGGACAGAGCTACTCTGGCCAGGTACAAGTACTTCAGAACAAAGGGCAAACCAAGAGATTACAGAGTTTACAGAGAAAGTCAATTTATGCTTGCGCTGCTGGGTAAGTCACACACACTGAATATTTTTACTGCATAGTCCTCCTGGCATTCATCACGCTGTGAAGATGATACATGACAGTGATATTCATGATTACTGCTCTGCCATATGCTGCACCAACACACAAGCCTGGCCAGCGTCATGGTCAGCATTTTCTTAGAAAACTTGCTTTGCATTGGTATGTCCTCTTACACATCTCCACTCCATCTGAAGTGAATTCCTATTGCAGCTGAACAGGTTTTCTCAGTAGTGAGACAGGCAAGGGATGGGAGGGTGGATGGCATCTGATTTAGAACCCAGGTAGTTTTTCTGCAAAGAAAACAACACTTTAATTTTCTCCCTCTAAATGAGGTTTTGGGAACCATTTGCTGTAGAGCTGAAAACATTCTCTTCTCCATCATTCTGCCTCTACTTCTATCCTCCCTGGACAGTATATGTTCACAGCTCACATCTCCTCAATGCAATAGCACTTTCTTGGAACTGACTTCAAATGAGGAGACTCATATGGAAGTGAGCAAAAGGAACTGACCTTCAATCCTCTGATTTCCCTGAGGGGAAGAAGATACACTAGAGGGTTTCCCACTGTTTTAGTTAGAAGTTACTAAACAAGGTTTTCTGGCGTTAGGTCCTGCCCTGCCTAATTTAATTCCAGGAGGTAGCTGAAGACTTACCGATGCTCTCTGGTAGCAGCAACTGCAGAATCATCTTAAGGCTCAAGAGTCAGTGTGTTTATAGAATCATAACAGTAGATCAGGATAACAGTGTAGGCTTTTTTTGAAAGGAAATACAACAGACATTTACAAGCACAGAGAGGCTTGCCTCTTCCTGTCCTTTTATCTGCAAAAATACGTAAAATCTTAAACTGTTTCCAGGAGCCTGAGATGGACTAAATCTATCAAAGGATTGAGATGTCTCCCTGCATACATGATCTTGCAGTGGCGTATTTCTCATCTGCACTAATGCAGATCATAAACCAACTCCAATCATTACATAAACCCATGGGTTTACACACAGGAATGACCCTTTTTATCCTCATTTCCAGAATGTTCCCCACTCAGGGAATGATTGACATGTGTCTTGGATGCCTGTCCTGAGCTGTCTCTTGGGCTGCAGAATCTAAAGCGGTCATTGCTGATACAAGGATGGGCTATGCTACCTTCTCAAAGTGACTGGGAGAACTGACAGGAAACCGTCTCTTCACAGTCATAGGTCACTCGGTGACAGAGCACACGTGACTTCTGCAAAACTCACCCTGAGCAGCAATGCGTCTTGCCTTGCCTTCTCCTTTCTTGTTTCCACATTTGATCTTCACCTTTTTTTCCTGAAGAAAAGGCAAGCAGAAGGGAAAGCAGCTCCTTGGCTCCTCGCTTGCTGACAGTCTGTCCCAACAAGCCTTGAAGTGCTGAATACTATGTGCTGCTCTCCAACCATGGGGATAGTGAAAAGACTCTCCCAAATTCAGGGGTACATGTTGTGAATTTCAAGAGATGTCATTAACATGGCCAGTCTCTTTGGCAAGGAAGCTGAGCCATGTGTGTCTGTTCCCTTCTTAGACTGATTAGCACCTGCCCCCACAGCAGACCCTGCCCCACGTGGGAAGAGCTCTCCAGTGGGGGGCATGTTTATATTGATGTAGTTCTCCAGCAGAACACATTTTCCTGACTCGCTTTTGAGCTTTTGTTTGCAAGGGGCTGGAAGATGTTTGTGGAGAAAGTTGGCAGTGTCTTTGCTACCAAGCCAAGTGCCAATTAGGGCTCTGGGAGGTTCCTGCATCATCGTGCTCAGGAATGTTCTGAAGCAGTTTAGCAGCTCCCCTTCCTCAACTGCAACCCTCTATGCAGTCTGATGGTGACAGCACTGCTGTGGAGAGCTTCCAGATTCCGCTTAAAGAATGATTTGCCACAGCCCCCTGCCTCTCTCCTTGCCCTCAGTGTCTCTCCAGAAACTTTCCCCAGGAAACCCACAGCATAGATGGAATTAGGAGGATGAAGTGCACTGTGAGCCTGTTCACCTCATTCTCACTCCTGGTATTCTGTGGGATCATTTTCTAAGTGAGCCTTTCCCCCCAAGCACAGCAGCATTCAGAGCAAGAGGAATTCCCTTTCCTCCCCTCCTCAAGACCTTGTGGGGCTGCTGCCCTCCCAGGGCCTTCCACAGCCCACGCTCCTCAACCAAGCTTGGGAGTGGCCACACACCCCTTCTGCAGCACGGGCACTGAGGCCAAGAGGGAATTTCTGGGCAGAGGCTCAACAAAACTGGGACTGGTGGCCAGGGGCTCTGGAGGAGTGATGGATGCCTTCCACACCTGCAAGTGACAGCCTGAAGATGGTCCACTGCACTGTGTCCCACCCTCCCCTCCTTTGGGAATGGTGAAGGCTTTCAATGTGCCCCATGCACCCCTAACTTCCACAGAGGAACATCCTTCCTCTGGACTGCATGTATCTGGAGTGTCCACAGAGGGATGGACCACACAGTGATGGTTAACAATCATTGTGTTAAGAAACACTGCACAACCATCCTCCAAACCCCCTCCCAGAAACACCCCTGAGCAACATATCTCTCTTTCGGCATCATGGGAGAGCATCTGCAGGGGAAAGGATGACACAGAGGCATGGACAGGGATACAGCAGAACTTTAATGAATAAAAAGAGGTATACAAGATTGGTCTGCATAAAGGCCTCAGTGCAGGGCGCATCAGGGGCATAAAGGAGTCTGCACCCCATGGCTGCGGTGGAAATCCTTCCAGGTATCCATCTGCCTGCCCCACAGAGGGTGCGGGGTCAGCAGGTCTTCCCTAGGCTGGCTTTGTGGGGCTCACAGCCCAGGGGAGCACAAGAGAACAAGGAGACGGGAGGGAAAGGAGAGAGCGGAAGAGGGGAAAGGCAGGCAAGGGCTGTGCTTTCTCAGAGCTGAGGCTGGCCCCGTCCTGTTGCAAGGGGTGCTGGGGTTGCTCAGCCTGTCTGAAAGCAACAAGCCGATGCTCCGTCCCCAGTGCGGTTCCGTCTCCTGGGTCCCTGGTGGCCTTGCCCAGCGCCATCACCATCAGATTTAGCAGGGAAGGCACCTCCTGCCGCAGTAGCGGCTGCCAAAGCCGGAGAGGCCAAAGCCCCCGGAGGAGATGGGCACTCCCTCAGAGCTGAGGATGCTGCCAACGGCAGCGGAGGTGGAGGATCCCACGGCGGTGTTCTGTGGGAAGGAGCTGAGGATGGGGCCGGGCAGGGTCACCACCACGGGGGAGGGCTGGATGACGACGGTGGAGTCCTGGCACTGCCTGACACAGGGCTCATTGCAGCTGTTGGCCAGCGGGGTCGGGCCGCAGGGCTGGCAGGGCAGGCACTGGTTGTAGCAGGACATGTCGTGGGTCCGGAGGTGTACCTGGGAGAGAGGGAAGGGTGAGGCAGAGCATGAGGGTTGGGTGAGGAACAGCTTGTCACCCCACCATGAGGGAGGCAAGGCACGTGCTGTGTGGGGAGCTGAATGCTGCTCAGAGGAGTGAAAGGAAGAGAAAGGTCTTCAGACTCACCTGATCCTCAAGGAGAAAGAGGTGAAAGAAGTGTATGAAAGACTGGGTATTTGCTCTGGCTTTTATACTGCTCCAGCACCGCCCCAGGTGCGCAGTCATGCTATATACAGGCAGTAATTTTCCAACAGACTCTCTAATTGAAGACATCCCAGCCAATGGCACAGGCTCTTTTCATTTTCCACAGTTCAATGCTTTCATATTGTGATTTATGCCATGGCCATTTCCCTTTGAGTCTCCTTTCAAGTGCTGAGGTGAGACACCCAAGGATTTTCAGGTCAGGAATGCATCATGATGGGCTGTAGACCTGACCCAGTTGCTGGATAGAGGTCCAGTGGAGGCAAGTACAATGGCCTGAGATTTTCCTGTAGGGTTGTTTGTCACCCTGTTCAAAATAAGGGGTCCAGCATGCTCTGGTGGTCACTGGTCTACTTTCTGGTGAGTGGGCTGCTCTGCTCATTTTGAATCTCCTCCTCCTTATGCTCTTGCTTTTGGGACAAATCTGCCAGTCTGTTTTGCTATTTCCTCTCTCTGAGCAATCACTTGGGGTCTCTAGCCAATGCCTTCAGCATATTAGGGTTATTTCTCTGTCCAATCTATGTGCAAACAACATCTGTATAACTTCACATATATGCATGCATGCATATATATGTTTTCCAACTTGTGTGTCCGTATTCATTCTTGTATCAAAAGAATTTGTTTTCCCTAAAATCTGGGCATATATGCATGCTTAAGTATCTGTATACACACAGGTGTGCACGAGCACCTATTTGTGTGTCCCTGCATATGTCTCCTGCTCATGAGGAGATGGGCTGGTCATGGCAGGGGCACTCTCCACTCCTCTGTACAGGAGCACCACAGAGCAGCAGGTTCCACAGGCCAAAAGGAGCCCAGTGGCAGCTGAACAGCAATGGCATGGACCTGGTGGAGACCTGCCCTGGGCGCTGGCACTGAAACACAACCCCTGTCTCCTGAGCTGTCCTTTTCATGCTCCTCCAAAGCTTACACTCTGCAACTGCAGATTTCAAAGCCTAGCGAGGACAGTTTCACACCAGTTTGGAAACACAGTTTAATTCAGTGTATCAACATTCAAAGTGTCTTAGCATGACTGTCAGTCACACTCCCTGCCTCTCCAGGTCAGGATATGTCTCCTCCTCCCAGTGTTAAGGAGTTCAGAACAATGAGGTTAGCTTTATGTACAGGGAGAAAAGCCAGGAAATCCTGCCCACCTCATGAAGGGCACTCCTGAGTGAATCTGCTTCTGTTGCAGCGTTAACAGTGTCTGGGATGGGACATAGGCCCCTTGTGTCCAAGTTAAAGCCATGGGCACCTCTGCAGCTAATTGATGTGACACTGAGTCAGGCAGGGGCTGAGACCTTGAGTCACTACCAAACACAAGGACAGATGACCTAGTGTCACTGTGCTTTGAGAGGAAGGACAGACCGTCTACGCTGCAAAGGGAGATCCAACCAGCTGATAACTCATTTGGTCTTCAGCCACACAGAGCTTTTATGTCCCACACTGAAATCCTATTCTGCCAGGAACTGCCTGGGAGGGAAGGATTGTCTGATTCATGGCAACATTCCCCAAGCGCTGCTGCTATCCTACGAGGAGTGTCAGGAGAAAAACTCTTTCCCTCAGAGACTGTTGGCAGTGAAGGAAGGGCACTGCAGGAGAGGGGCAAATGCTCTCCCTATTGAGAACTGCTTCTGCAAGAAACTTCTTTGCGTTTCACTTTGGGCTCTTCCTCTCAATAACCTTCTTCCTCTCTTCCAACCAGGCTTTCCAAATCTCTAATCACTACACAGTGGTGCTTGCTGGTGGGGAATGGGATGTGCAATAGCAGAGACAAATTCTCTACCTGTGACTGAATCCCCTCTTGCCCCATTCTTCCATGGCCCCTGAACACCTCTGGGCATATTTCTGCTCATACCACCTTCACCTTGACATGGGTAAGAAGCATTGGCTTTGGGCTGCTGAGAGGCTCCAAGAGGCAGGCTCTCACTCTGCTGATTCCATTCCAAAGACATTTTATCCAGTCCCTGAGATATGGAAGTGGGAATCCTGTCACTTCTGGGTGCTACAGCCACTTAGATGTCCCAGGCTGTGTTGCACACCTAGAGAGAGACCAGAGAGGAAAGGAGGCCAAGAAAGGGGGGAAATTTCTCCTCAAACCAAGCAGTATAAGGAGAAAGAGAGATGAAACCAGGAGCACAGCCCACCAGCCTCAGAAGTGACAACCACTGACTGTCAGAATGAGCTGGGACAGAGGGAGAGAGGACAGAGCAAGTCCTTGCGCATGAGAACCTGTGGGTATACAGCTGAGGACTGCAACACTTGGAGGACCTGGGACCCTTCCTGAAAAAAGAATTGCAAATGAGCCCACCGAGGTACCCCAAGCTGGTGTCCCCTGCCTGCATGGGACCTCCTCAGCACTTGAGTTCTGTCCTCAGCTCTGTTGTGTTCCTGCCCTGGAAGTCCTTGGGCCTCTTATTCCACCATTTGGCAGGAGCTTCTCTGCCATAAAGGGCATTTCAGAAATGAGGAAATGAAAAGAAGGCAATAAAGGAAACCAAATTAAAAGCTGTGTGATTAGGAAGGGTAGTCTCCATTTAAGATGAGTCTCTTGGAAAATTACTGCCTGTGCAGAGACAGCCTCAGAGCATGGGGCGGTGCAAGAACAGTATAAAAGTAAACCCAAAGCCTTGTTCTCTCATCCACTTCTCTTGCTTTGCTCTCCTTGGGAACCAGGTGAGTCTGCAGCCCTTTCAGCTTCTTATCCTTCGCCAGGCTGAGGTCTCACATCAGTGGACACCTCAGCCGATGCCTGCTCTATCATGCCACAGCAGGACTTGAAGGTCCTTGTCATAGAAGTAGGAAGGAGGCAGAAGGTGTGGCATGGACAGACATTTGGTCTTGGCTGAGGTGTCTCCTGAACTATGGGCTAGGTGGGGACCTCCCTGGGCTTGGCTGCTCTTGGCAGGGCACTTTTGGTCTGAGGGGAAGAAGCCCATGGGTCTCCCTACAGAAGCTCCAGCTCTTTGCCCAGCATGTGCCTTGGCTCTGTCATGGTGGGGTGACAGGATTCTCCTCACCCAACCCTCATGCTCTGCCTCACCCTTCCCTCTCTCCAAGGTACACCTCCGGACCCACGACATGTCCTGCTACAACCAGTGCCTGCCCTGCCAGCCCTGCGGCCCGACCCCGCTGGCCAACAGCTGCAATGAGCCCTGTGTCAGGCAGTGCCAGGACTCCACCGTCGTCATCGAGCCCCCTGCTGTGGTGGTGACCCTGCCCGGCCCCATCCTCAGCTCCTTCCCACAGAACACCGCCGTGGGATCCTCCACCTCCGCTGCCGTTGGCAGCATCCTCAGCTCTGAGGGAGTGCCCATCTCCTCCGGGGGCTTTGGCCTCTCTGGCTTTGGCAGCCGCTACTGCGGCAGGAGGTGCCTTCCCTGCTAAATCTGATGGTGATGGCGCTGGGCAAGGCCACCAGGGACCCAGGAGATGCTACCGCATCGGGGACAGAGCATCGGCTTGTTGCTTTCAGACAGGCTGAGCAAACCCAGCACCCCTTGCAACAGGACGGGGCCAGCCTCAGCTCTGAGAAAGCACAGCCCTTGCCTGCCTTTCCCCTCTTCCGCTCTCTCCTTTCCCTCCCGTCTCCTTGTTCTGTTGTGCTCCCCTGGTCTGTGAGCCCCACAAAGCCAGCCTAGGGAAGACCTGCTGACCCCGCACCCTCTGTGGGGCAGGCAGATGGATACCTGGAAGGATTTCCACCGCAGCCATGGGGTGCAGACTCCTTTATGCCCCTGGTGCGCCCTGCACTGAGGCCTCTACGCAGACCAATCTTGTATACCTCTTTTTATTCATTAAAGTTCTGCTGCATCCCAGTCCATGCCTCTGTTTCATCTTTTTCCCCTGCAGATGTTGTCCTGAGATCATAGAATCATAGAATCATTTAGGTTGGAAAAGACCTTAACGATCATCAAGTCCAACCATCATCCATGCCCACTAAACCATGTCCTGAAGTACCCTGTCCACTCGCTTTTTTAATATCTCCAGGGATGGTTACTCAACCACTTCCCTGGGCAGCCCATTCCAATGTTTGACAACCCTCTCAGTAAA